AATAATAATAATGTCTAATTTTTATCTGTCTATTCCTTTTTCTGATAGCCTAAATTCTGTGGGAGCATTGAAAAGTGAAAGGATGGGAAACATGGTGTCTTTTAGCTTATCTTTATAAAGCTTCTTGAAAACATTGTCACTGAGTGGAGTATGTTTAGAAAATGGCAACAGGACACAGGATTCCTGCTTTGATTTCTTAACAGGTTGACCCAACAAGGTATTATGAAGCCTGTGTGGCTGATTCCTGTGCTTGTGACACTGGGGGAGATTGTGAATGTTTTTGTACAGCTGTAGCTGCCTATGCCCAAGCATGTAGTGAATATGGAGTGTGCATATCATGGAGATCACCCTCAATCTGTCGTGAGTACTTGTCCAACACTTCCATATTCAGTGAAAAAGAGGTGAATGGAAAATAAATGTCATTTCTCCCAATTCACTGTATGAGAATATTTGTATACCACGCATAGCAGTAGATAACTTGCTGAAGAAAATGCCTGGATTGGTGTACTGCTTATGAATTAACATTCAACCAGTATATGATTTCAAAATAATGGCTGATGCAACCATAATATCAGACAGAACCTCACTTCTGTGAATGATTAGTACAGTGGGGTCTTGACTTGAGAACTTAATCCGTATTGGAAGGCGGTTCTCAAGTCAAAAAGTTCTCAGGTCAAATCTGCATTTCCCATAGGAATGCATTGAAAACCATTTGATCCGTATCTGCTCTTTTCCGTCCATAGAAACTAATGGGAAGCTGCTATTCCGCCTTCGACCACTAGAGGGGGATATTTTGTTTCTTTTTTTCTTAGGTCAAGAAAGGTTCAGGGAAGGCAGGGAAAATACAGTCCAGGCAGGACAGTACCAGGCAGTCTGAAGACTGTCTCCCAATCCACTCTCTAAACGCTGGGAGGAGTGAGGAAGCAGACAGGCACCCTTTTCACTGGCCAACAGTTAACTGAAAGTTCAAATTTTGCACTTTCCCTGCCCCCCACATGGTTTTTTTTTTTCAGTTTGTAACTCAAATCTAAGTATGTAAGTCAAGTCAATATTTTCCTATGAGAGCGGTTCTTAAGTCAAAATGTTCTGAACTCGAGCCGTTCTTAAGTCAAGACCCCACTGTATTCAGTACTACCTTCAAGACCATGCTAGGCATCTTCCTATCAATTTGTACACAGGCATCAAAATATCTCATTATGACATCCACACTTACTTTAATGGTATAAGCAGTACTATGCATCCATTCTGGGGTGATTGGTTCTTAATATATTTTTCTTTCCCTGTTTCTTTAGCCCTGTTCTGTGACTATTACAATACTGAAGGAGAATGTGACTGGCATTACAAGCCTTGTGGAGCACCATGCATGAAGACTTGTAGGAACCCAAGCGGGAGGTGCCTTTATGAATTACCAGGCTTGGAAGGTAAGATGACCTTTTCTATAGTCTTATTAGGCCTAAAGGGCCAGTGACTGCAACATGCAATAAGCTTTCAGGTTTTTCCTCCCTAAATCGTTGGGCTATCTTCCCCATTTCCCACTGGATTCTCTTTTTTGGTGTGAAATTGCTTACAGTTAGACTTTCTAAGAACCTGTTAAGACATAATATAGGGTATCTGTTAAGTGATCTCTTGATGTCTTTTGCTTTGCCCATATGGGTCCTTGAATTGAGTTGGGGCAACAGAACTGGGAGAAGGTATGTCGTTTCTTTCTGCACTCTTTCTCCAATTTAAATCACCCCCACTTAAAGCAGCTATTTAGCTATTACCAGTGGTGGAAGAATGCAGAGGTATTTCTGTGGTTGATGGCAACACAAGGAATGTAAGAGGGAAGAATTTCTCTCATCAGGAAAATGGCATGGGGTCAAGAGTGAATGGGTCTTCAAAGTGATATTCAAGTTATCATTTAAAATAGTAAGATAATCAAGGCAATCAAAATGATCCTTTGTATAATGATCAGTATGGGCTGTCAAAACTGGTTCTAACATATGGTGACTCTTGCCAAGGTTTCCTAGATGTAAAATACTTAGAAATGGTTTATCGGTCCCTTCCTCTGGGAGCGCACTGAGAGTGTGTAGCTTGCCCAAGACCACATAAGCTGGCTCTACTTGCAGACGGCTCAGTGCAGAATCAAACTCCCAACCTCTGGCTCTGCAGCCACATAACTTAACCACTGAGCTATCCAGCCAGCTCATAGAAAAAATCAGGACAGTCTTTAGAACAACACAAAATCCATGAATGCTGTACATGATGCCACTGAATGCCTGCAGGAGAAAGATGTTCACTTGACCCCCTGGAGGTGGATGCTAATTATGGGGAGACAAAGCCTTCTGTTAAATAGCCATACATGTTGTCCCCCCACCCCAAAGGGAGGGGCACACAGAGCAGGATATACTGAAGATCTTGACAACTAAACATGTTTGTACACAAGCTTGTTGTTCTTTAGTCATCTGGATCCCAGGCTGGAGGGCTTGTAATTAAAAAACAATACAACTGCACTCAGTACTTTAAGAAACTGACATCTGGTGAATATATTTAAGCACTGGTGAGAGATTCAACCCACTCTACCTCTTGCAGTTAACAGCTGAGCTCAAAAATGGCACCTGCTTTTAGACGTAGCACATATTTTAAAAATAGGCCCAATCTGCCATCAAAGTAAACGGAAACGTGGCTTGCAGGCTAATAAGGTGATAGTACATTGAAATTATTGAAAGGAATCATTCAAATAAAAATGGGTTTCTCCCATTCCAGAGAAATTCTGGATGTGTTGCTGTTCATTTTATTTTATGACAGAGAAATTTTGTTTGGAAATATGGGGAAAGGCTGTCCAAAGAAGAGGGAAATCCCAGCACACGGACACCCCAACCAAAAAAAGTTCCACAAGAAATTTAGGATAAAATAGAGAAAACAAGAAATTGAAATCTTCCGGCTAATTCCCCATTTTATATATTCTACTTCTTTCTCTAATCTCTTCCACTCTTTTAGGTTGCTACCCATACTGCCCAGCAAATAAGCCCTATTTCAGTGAAGATGAGATGAAATGTGTTGATGTTTGTGGCTGTTATGACAGTCAGGGTAACTATCATCCACCAGGAACAACCTTTGACTCAAGAGAGACATGCCAATCATGGTAAGCATGACAAAATTAAGAGCAAATAATCACAACAGACAAAAACACATGTAGCAGTGACAGCCGCCACAACAGGAACTGGTGTGAAGCCTGTGGAGGTTTCTGGAGGGGTTGTCACATCTAGAGTGCTGCCCAAGATGAGTGTGGCAACAGTGGAATAAAAAAGAAAAGGAACAAACTTTTATCAGGCAGGTTCATTGTCAAACATTACAATAAAAGGCCAAAATTCTGTTGAGGCATTTAGAAATTCATTCAAATGAATGGTCCTCAGCTGCAGAATATGGCTAAAGATTTAGCCAACAAAACATCTGAAAGGCCATAGCACCTAAGGCACTTGTCAGTGGAACATTATTATATATTCTGTTTGGTAAAATTGATCTTCAGGTGGGACTAAGTTGAAAGTTAACATCAGTAAGTGAAGTTACGCATCTTAAATGGCTTACACTTTGCCATTATTTCTTACAGCCAGTGCACCAGCAAAGGCATGGAGTGTAGATATGACCCTGAAGGTGAGTTACAGAGATTAATCTTGACAACTAAACATGTTTGTACACAAGCTTGTTGTTCTTCAGTCATCTGGATCCCAGGCCAGAGGGCTTGTAATTAACTGTTTAGGAACTATGTCATAAGTCATTGCCTAACCACAAACTATATGTCCTCCTCCCATTTTCAGCATGCTACTGCCACTATGAAGGGAAGACCTATATCTACAAGGATGTCATCTACAATACCACCGATGGCTTGGGATGGTGCATAATTGCAACCTGTGATGTCAATGGAACAATTAGTAGAGAACTCTACAAATGTGCTGGGCCTAGCACAACAACACCATTTACATTTACTACTGTTTCAGCTACAACAACAAGTGGAGCAGGTAAAGCAATGAACATCTGGGGCAATTGTGTGCACTTAGACAGCAGTAAGCTCCACTGAACTCAATGAACTGAAAGTAATTGACTTGATGTAATGTATATAGCACCAGTCTCCTGTTAGAAAAGACACAGAGAGTCCTAGAAGGAGGGGAATTTTAGAGCCTGCCTACACCATCAAACATTTTGAGATTTGCTCCATTTATAAAATGGGTGAATTAAAATTCATTTTTCTTGCCCACATGACACAAAGACTAAATTGAATCCGTCCAGCCCTTTAGGCTTGCAAACTGGCTTTTTTCCCCCTCCTGGCTCAAGTCTACATCTTTTTTTTTCTTGCTAGAAAGATTTGAAAGGGCTTTTTTTCATGTGCAGATGGAGGTGTGTGGCTGGTCTGTAGAAGAGACTGGGGGAAAGAGCAGATGGAGAAAAGAGAGCAAGGGGTGTTTGTGAGAGGGAAAGGGGCAATGGCGGGGAGAAAAGATGCATGCACACACACACACACACACACACAAACACACACACAGCGCTAGTACTTACTTCTCTCTGCAAAGCCTCTGTTCCCCTAAGCTGTTGCTTCTTTTTCTTAAAAGCCTCCTCCCCCACACTCCTGTTTATTCATTCATTTTGTTAACAGCATAGGTTCTCTCTCTCTCTGGCAAGATACAATGCATAGGTCATTGGGAGGAAAGCTTTCTTAAGTCAGTTCCTTTGAAGTGCACTACCTACAGGTCCTTCAAATGAAACTGTAGGTACAGTGGGGTCTTGACTTAAGAACAGCTCGAGTTAAGAACATTTTGACTTAAGAACCACTCTCATAGGAAAATATTGACTTGACTTAAGTACTTAGATTTGAGTTAAGAACTGAAAAAAACCACGTGGGAGGCAGGGAAAGTGCAAAATTTGAACTTTCAGTTAACTGTTGGCCAGTGAAAAGGGTGCCTGTCTGCTTCCTCACTCCTCCCAGCATTTAGAGAGTGGATTGGGAGACAGTCTTCCGACTGCCTGGTACTGTACTGCCTGGACTGTATTTTCTCTGCCTTCCCTGAACATTTCTTGACCTAAGAAAAAAAGAAACAAAATATCCCCCCTCTAGTGGTCGAAGGCGGAATAGCAGCTTCCCATTAGTTTCTATAGACGGAAAAGAGCAGATACGGATCAAATGGTTTTCAATGCATGCCTATGGGAAATGCAGATTTGACCTGAGAACTTTTTGACTTGAGAACCGCCTTCCAATACGGATTACGTTCTCAAGTCAAGACCCCACTGTAGAAGGCTTTTCCCCCCAGTGCTTCTGTGACCACATATTAAAGAGAACCAAATACTGTACCCCAATGTACAGTGAGAGGTGAGTTAATTTGCAGTTCCCTCACTGTGTAGTCACAGCCTACTCAGCCCTTCACCTTAAAACATGGGAGTAATGTATTGCCAGGAACAATACTACATAATTTTCCTTCTCAGCATTCTCTGCCTGAATTGAAATAAACATCAACTAGTCATAGTTTTCTTCACGCAATTAGAAATGCCTTTACTTCACATGTGCTTTGATGGTGGAGAGTTGCCTTTTACCATAATTATACCAGATGACCATATATGTTATTGTCTATTTTTTTTTCTGCCACACTTGAGAATACACTGTCCTAGAATCATAGAAATCATAGAAAAGTGAAGTTGGAAGGGGCCTACAAGGCAATCAAGTCCAACCCCCTGCTCTATGCAGGGATACAATCAAAGCATATCTGCCAGGTGATCTCCAATTTTCTCTTGAATGCTTCCAGCATTTGAGAGTTCACCCCAACTCTTGAGGTAACTGGTTCCACTGTCCTAGTGCTTTAACAGTTAGGAATATTTTCCTGATATTCAACCGAAATCTGGCTTTGTTTAACTTGAGTCCATTGTTGCATGTCCTGCACTCTGGTATGATTGAGAAGAGATCTTACCCTTCCTCTATATGACAGCCTTTCAAATATTTGAAAAGTGCTATCATATCACCCCTTAGTCTTCTTTTCTCAAGGCTAAGCATTCCCAATTCTTTCAGCCTTTCCTCATGAAGGTTTGTTTCCAGCACCCTGATCATCCTTGTCGCTCTCCTCTGAACTTCTTCAAATTTGTTAGAATCCTTCTTGAAATGTGGTGTCCAGAACTGGACACAATACTCAAGGTGAGGCCTAACCAGTGCTGAATAGAGGGGGATTAGCACCTCCCAGGATTTGGAAATGTTACTTCTATCAATGCAGCCTAAAATAGCATTTGCCTTTTTTGTAGCCATATCACTCTGTTGGCTCATATTTTGCTTGTGGTCTATGACAATTCCAAGATCCTTCTTGTTCATAGTTTTACTGAACCAGGTATCCCCCATCTCGTAAATGTGTTATTGGTTTCTTTTTCCAAGGGACAGTACTTTGCACTTATCACTGTTGAATTTCATTCTGTTGTTTTCGGCCTAGTGCTCTATTCTATCAAGGTCATTTTAAATTTTGTTTCTGTCTTCTAGGGCAGTGGTCCCCAACCTTGGGCCTCCAGATGTTCTTGGACTTCAACTCCCAGAAATCCCGGCCAGCAGAGGTGGTAGTAAAGGCTTCTGGGAGTTGTAGTCCAAGAACATCTGGAGGCCCAAGGTTGGAGACCACTGTTCTAGGGTACTAGCTATTCCACCCAACTTTGTATCATCTGCATATTTGAC